GTCTGCACAAGGATCAGACATTGGTATGTAGTAACAACAGCACTGGGAGGCTAATACTGGTTGGAATATGTGCTGTAAGTATTTGTACATGAAACAACCATGTCCAATGCATATTAAAACTTCTGCAACAGTGTGGAAACAACAGTAAAAGACACTATTAGGGCATAAGAGGAAATTGCAAGTGAGAATGACCTTATAGAGGATAGATTGGACAAAGTAAACTCCTGGGACCAGATGCCAAGAGGAAAGTAATTTGATGATCATCTGTCCCACTTCCGGATTGGACCTCAGGCACAAGAGCCATCCCGGTCAGGTAACCTGATTGGACATAAGGTCAATTTTTGCCCAAGTTGTCCACATTGGGATTGGACCTGGAATCAATTTTGGACCCGTTCCCGTCTGCATCAGGATTGGACATCCTGGCCTATATGCCTGGGTTCTGAAGGGACTTGGCGTTACAAGATTGAAACAATCTTGTTGCAGCAACTCTTAGCTTTGGGTTGGACATTCTCTTGAATCACGCCACAGCAATGACCTGTCATGGGCCATGTTCCAACTTGATCACAGGATACTGTGGATGCATTGCGGTGACTCTTCTAAGTGTCACAGCAGGTTGCGCCCACACTCAAACACACCAAAAGCAACACGGACAAGGTCTGTGAGCCAAACCATGTGAGCAACGCTTGGCATGCCTAGGACCATACAGCTTCTTAGGGCACACATGTTGGACTCACTTGCCAAGACATACCAACTGGCCAATCCAGTGTCTTGTATTCCAAAATGTATGACACAGTGGGTTGTCATGCATCAAAAATGCCATATGGACAATGGGGTGGGTCCTGATCAGTCAAGACCTGTCCAATCATTCAACTTTCAGTCACCCTAAAAAGCACTGATCTTAGATAGTGTAGCTACAATGCAGCTGTACAGGACTTTACTAAGCACCAGCATAGACAGTATAAATAATGTGACATTTCTCTGTATTGGGCAGCTTTCCCCTGCACTGTGAATCATACCTATATCAGATTGTTTTCTGCAATTTGCATGTTGCATGATTCCTCCTCAAGAAGTTCTTGCATCTCTTGCCTGGTTGCAACAAGTTGCTCTCTGAGCACTGGTAGCTACTGTGATTAGAGTTTGAGTTGAGATATCAGAAAGTTGGGTCCGCTGCTTCTGGTTTTGTTGTGACACCCAGTGCCGTGACCTTTGGGATTTGTTGAGATCATTTGACACATCTAGGTTGGCAGTGCATCAACTAGTTGTGCTTGGGTAGTTTTGGTCAGTTGGCAGTGAATCGACTTGAGAACTTTGGTTCCACACTTCTTGCTTGACAGTGCATTGACAAGTTGTGCTCAGGTTTTGGATTTTTGGTTCTGGCTGTTAGTTGGCAGTGCGTCGATGCAGCATTTTGGTTGTACTAGTTGGCAGTGCATTGACTTGGTGTTTTGGGTTTTGTTTCACTATTTGGATGCTGTTGCTACAAGGGATCTTAATACTTTGTATTAAGCTCTGACTTATGACATTTGTTGGTTGTGATTGTATTAGTGTTGATGTGACAATCAACAAGAAACAATGTCGAAAAGAGAAGTCAATTCAAAGACTGGAGAATACAACTAAGTAGCTACAGTATTTATACCCAAATCCAGTCTGAGTCATATCTACAACTAATGAGTCATAAGGCTATGTACCGCACGGAGCACTGGTCATGGGTTGTAGTAGAACCTTCCAGAGCATATGTCATACAGCCTTGAATTGATGAAGATGATCCCCAGACCCCTAGCCCGGACCGTCCAATGCCATGATCCATGATAAGATAATCCGTGCCAAGATAAGATAAGATCGTTGATGATAAGATGAAAAAGGGTTGAACTATGACAGTTGATTTTGGTTTTATAGAAGATATTGGTTGAGACACCGTTTCTTGCTATATAAATTCTTGTGCAACAACTCTGTCTTCTGCAACTATTTGATTCCATGTTTCATTTGAGAGTTGTGACTTTGGTGTTCTGTCCACCCCAAAGCCCTTGCATCTTTCACACACTGAGAAGCTGATTACAAGGAGTGTGAACATGTTTATATTTGGGTTTACTTTCATAGTAGATTTGCCTGTGAGCGTGCCCTAAGCATTTCAACACTGAATATGCTTGATGTTGATTGCGGCACATCAAAAAGTATAGTGGTTGGTTGTGAGATGGACAGCACAGTGTTGGTAGCGTGCAAGCAAGTCCTGGTATTCATCTAGGAACTTCCCAGACTAATACTTGGAAATGTGAATGAGGTAGTTGATGTTGCTTTCAGCAGCAGTGGAGGGTGCCTGCATTTTTGACCAGTGATGAATGGTACATCTGGATCTCCAGTCTAATGAAATTGTGTCCCAGTGTGTGTGTGAGGGTATGAGTTGAGAGTCCACAGATTTTGGCCACTTTGTGTCTGGAGTGCTGGCCTCAATGAATAAGACAAGACACACACCAATTGTTTTGGTGCTGTTGAGCTTGCGGCATACCATGCATGTGTGAAGCAGAAAGCACGCTGGCTGTACAACAACCCTAACCTCACATACAGGCCTCATGCATGTGAAATATATACATTTTCTTTTCCAGGTAAAGACATCATTTATTTAAATTGCAATAAAATCACTAAAAGTTTCTGTTAATTCTGACCCCAACTCATATCACAAGTCCTGCAGCATGATTCCAACATATTGTGAGTAGCATGCAGTAGCATTTTGCAAGACCAGAAATGCAAATTGGGGCCAGAATCAACAGATTCTTCTAGTGGTTTTAATCTGTTTTCAGTGAAAAAAGATCATCTTTTTTTTCTATTTCCAGATTTTGTCTGAAAACAGAACAGTGAAAACAGGACTTCTAGATTGTCATGTGTTTTCCACGGAAAAAAACAAGTCCCCCCGCAGTGATGGAAAGGGTTTCTGCCAGCCTGCTCAGCTACAAAAATGCCATGAATGATTTCATTGGTTTTAACTGGCTCAAACCAAGTCCAATGTTTTCCGTCTCCTCTAAACTCCAAACCAAACTTGGGTTCAGGTTTGGGCATTAGTTCAAGCCCAAACCCCAAATCTGAGTCCAGTTCAGTTCAGTTCAGTTTGGATTTGAATTAATTACTCAACTAAACCGTGAGAGCACTAATCTTGACAGAGTCACCTACTTGAACAAAGTATTTGAAACAAGGGGAATCATAACTGTTTGTTGTTGTTGCCTGTCTCAGGGGGCTCAAGGAAGGACTGACAGAGCTGAACAAGCCCCCAGAATCCTCGAGGAAGCAGGTCAAAGGAGAGGCTGTCAACACTGGCAGCAACAAGTGGTTGAAATTTCCGGAATTATTGTGATTGTCCTGTGTCTTTTGAGTTGCAAGAGAGAAGCATAGCAAATTTGAGCCAATCACAAAAGAAAAACATCATATGGACACCAACCAGTGCCGAAAAAACTTGTTCTTTTCAGGGCAAAATTTTGCTGTATCCGATTTTTTTTCTAGTATAAGCCTGATCAGGTCCTTGAACCTGTCCAGATCCTTGACCGGGGAAAGTTGCCAAAGTATGACGGACGGATACCAGCGAGGTCTACTAGGGCTTACTACACATAAACCTTCAGTCTGAAACCGAGCTCACGGCCGCCTAGTGGTGTGCAAGCAAATCTTCTGGTCCCTAGCATTCGGATCTTTCCTGCTCCGTAAAGCGCGTCCGACATGGAATGCCATTCATCAGTTGAAAAATGTGGTTTCGGAGTCTATGTGATTCATGAAGCTTACAAACGCGCGCATTCTTCTGAACGCCGGTTCTGTAAATCAAACTTGATGTTGGTGATATCAGATAGGGCCGACTTTCCCTAATAGTAGCCCTCACTTCTTTGGTCGAATCGGAGATCTCCCGACTCGTTTGAGAAAGCGCATATCATGGCACACGAGATTTGTATTGATTTTCATTGGAGCGGCTCGGGATCTTGCTAGGCCAAGTGCAGAGAATCATGAGTATCTAGGGCACAATTAAGCTACCAAGAGGTGTGAATATATCCCTCTCAACGAGAAAGTTTCTTCAGGAGGTCTGAAACCTTACGCTCGAAATCAGCCGGATAAATTTAAACACCCAAGCGTGCCACGGCAGAACGTCTGTGAGGTTCTCGCTCGGTCACATTTTGCCGCTCATGCTGGTCGCGAGCTTATCCCAGGAAGATACGTCTCATCACTGGCCCCAAGATTCGGCGAACAATTAGGCGAGCAGGAAAGAACGTGCGCGAGCCCCACGGTTTCTGACACAGTTGTCAAGTTGTTTCGGAAAGCCTTGAGATGAACAATATTTATTTTATTTCGTCCTGGTGATGACAATCAATAATTATCGAACTGAGTGAAGGCAATCATGGGAGGCTTCAGCAGCCATGGTATGGTGAGGGATATAAGAATCATAAAGAGAATTTTTTCGTTACATGAAAGAGGGATAAAGAAACTATGTGGATGCGTTCAATCCGTCACGCATCTGCTATGGGAATTCCCTCTAATTTAGAGCTCTTCAGAAATGCAATAGTCGATCTGAATTACTTTATAGCCTCCGGAAACTTCGATATTCCGCGTGGAAATAACACGGCAACTTCTCTGACAATACTGTTCAAATCCGCCGTCACTCCACTGTAATCACATGTCATTGAGACTTTGATAGCCATGCCCATATTTTGCCACGAGAAATGATTAGGGATCACGAACGACTGTTTTCGGGTACCCGGGGAGTGTGGGGACTTTGAAAGATATTGTTTCCGGGCGAGTGCCTTTGGATCTACTGATATCCATGACCGAACACGGTAAGTAGCCGCAGCTACCAAAATCATCATGTCGGCTACAAACTAGATTTTACCATAGTCCCGGCCCAGCTTGACGGCGGGTAGTAAGTCATGTTTCAGGGTGTTCTCGTGTCTCTGGGGGTTTGAACCTATTTAATGTGCATCTTCATCCCTCGGCCTACGCTCACGCATCCCTGTTCGTCTTTGCGGTCATTGTTCATGGAAGTCATCGGCTTATTCCCTGCCACATGCCCCTACTTGCACGCCGCTATCTCGTTTCTACAGAGCATTTCAACATACACTACGAGGAAGAAAACCTTTTCTTCACGGGCCGACTACGACATCGACAAAAGCACTGGGTTCCTTCCTCCTTCCCCTCTTCCGCGTCTGGCGGGTGAATTCACCTTTTGGGAACTTGCTTTGAGCGAAGCTCAGACGGAAGTCTCTCTGTGGGACGACCAGTCTGAAGAAGCTTCGGTCAAGCGTACGTCGTCGAGAGCGTGGCGGATGCGGATTTTATCTGTGAGTCACCTCACCTATGCACATGATCCGAGCTCAAGATCGCGGGTAGTGGCCCGTCGTTGACACAAATGCGCTGCGGGGGAGCCTCCGGCGTCTCCAGCGAGCCCATGTGGTTCTCGCTTATCTGACCCATTACTTCATCCACTCTTCACCCCCAGCAGGTCCGGATCTTCCTTTCCTGGTCCCAAAGGCACTCGCCGTCCCACTCGTTGCTGTCTCCCGTGATCTTGGCATTGCACCCGTTCTGACTTTCGCTGACACGGTGTTATGGAATTACGAGTTAATTGACGCGGCCCAACCGACCTCAGCCATCAACATCCATTACCCCAATTGTTTTTCCGGTACCGAGGACGAGTCCCATTTCTATCGCACATCCGCAATTGTTGAACTCCGCGGAGTCGAAATGCTGGAGATCATCGACGACTTCTTCTTGCTACCCGACGTGGAGGACTGTTCTGCGGTCTCCAGACTGTCGCAGAACCTCACAAGGCTCGTGGACATTGTCGAAGATATCAGCGACATCATTCAGAGCGTCCGTGGAAATGTGGACCCTCACGTTTTCTACAATGATATCAGACCTTGGTTCAAAGGCAGCGACGCAAATGGCCCATCCAGTCCTGGCTGGGTCTACGAAGGTGTACCGGACTCGGACATACTGGATCTCAGTGGTCCGTCCGGAGCACAGAGCAGTATTATGCACGCTCTCGATCTGTTCCTCGATGTCGACCACAAGCTGAAGTTGCGGCGCTTTCCTCTGCCCTCCGGAGACAATCTCCGGGCAGAGACTGGTTTCATGGAACGCATGCGGAGGTACATGCCTGGGAAACACCGCGATTATCTACATTCGCTTACTAACCGCTCCCGTTCGATACGCGAATTGGCCCAGCGGACACCGGCCCTGCGTGCGCCTTACGACAATGCCGTCACGGCTCTCAAACAACTGCGGGACCTCCACATGCGGATCGCCTGTCTCTATATCATTACCATGTCGCGCTCCACTCGTCATCTGTCGGATGGATGTCCTATCTCCGCGATGATCACCAAATTGGACAAAAGCCGTGGGACTGGAGGCAGCGAACTCGCCTTGCTACTGAAAGCCGGCCGCGATGCAACACGGCGCAGCCTGCTGAGGGAGATATATTAATAGATGCGGCTCGTAGTGATTCTACAAGAATCATCGCTAGTCGTTAATGGTTCCGCAGAATACTGTCGAAGATTCAGATCTAAAAATACATCGATGGAGGGTTCGCTTGTCCAGATATTGAAGCTATGTTGAGTGGCGGTAAGTGCCACCGGGGATCATTTTTGGACTGTAATAGAGTGCTTTGTGAGGGGCGGTCTACTTGGTTTCTGAGACGATTTTTCGACCATTCAGCCGGCTGCTACCCGAGAAAAACATCTCGCTGCGTTGTAGAGTGTGGAAACCAGATAACCATTGTGCCGGTGAATGGAATGTAAAATACTCGCAGTACAGTTCAGGCAGGATCGCTGTTCGTGAGTTCACATTTCATACCAACAATATGCCTACGCTTCATTTAAGGATCCATCTATCAAACACGACTTCTGCACTGGCCAGTGACTGCACTTCGCCGACCTTCTTCCGCCATTTGCCGACTTGATAGAACTTTCAAACGTCCTCTGGTTGATTACCGGACTAGCGTGCCATTGCTGTTTAAATATAGGCTATCTAAATTATACGAAGGGTGACGACTACCAAGGCAGTGGGCCGTCCTTATTGAAAAACACGCCGCTTTTTCCCGAGGGTGTCAAGACCTCCTTGACCATCACTTTGCATCCCTCAGACGGATGCATCCCGATGGCCATGAAGTGGGCCATGCTTGTCGCGTTGAGACCTAAAAGGCGGACAGCCAGTCAGAACACCGCCAATCTCGTTGCGGCAAGGACGCACCAGGGCAGATCGCCACAACACGGATGCCGGTCCCCTTCTCCTCCTCCTCGAACGCCCATTGCAGCGTGAGGTTGTTCATCGCGGCCTTGGTCGCGCAGTAAGTCTTGAGTTTGGGAGGTGGGCGGATCGGAGGGCGGGCTGCGTGGAGAGCCTGCGAGCCGAGGTCGGAGGAGATGTTGATTATCTCGCCGCCCTTGTTGAGCAGCGGATAGAAAGTGTCCTTGATCGCAATGGTCGACGCAATGTTAATCGTCAACACGAGAATATCGGGGCCTTCCGAGTTGGCAGCGCTGTTTTACAGGTCAGATGGCCGCTTCAACCCCGGATTCAAGGCAGCCATTCGACGCACTTGTTGATCAGGAAGTCCAGGCCTGGGACGTTCAGCTCTTTCAGCTTCGCTGCAACGGTTTCCTTAGCCTCCGGGATGGATTTCTCGTTGGCGAGATCGATGTAGACCGGGAAGACGCGGGACGTGGGATGGATATCCGGAGTCAACTGAGTGATGGCCTCCTCGGCCGCGGCCATCCGGCGAGCACCCATGAAGAGAACCATATTCGGTGTCTGCGCGAGCTGATGCACAGTGTTATAGCCCAGACCTGGAAAGGCTCGGTGCTCAGCCATGTTCTGAGATTGCAACCGACAAAATGTTATCGCACGAACCTTGGTTGGCACCGGTGATGAACACAGAGCGTATGGTAGTAGACATGGTGAATTAGAGATGGTGGAATGTCGAGGCAGACCGGACAGGCTGCAGAACCCAAAAAGTCGTCTCCTCATATATACCCACCCTGATCCCCCGGGAAGGAGCCGTTCGCCATCGATACGACGCCCACAAGCGATCGCGACGCTTCTTCTCGGCGTTTGAGACGATAGTTTAACCGTCCGACGGAGTAAAGGAGGCAAACTGCGAGAGTCATCTTGATTATGGCCGAGCAGTCTATGACATCTTCCAGACGGGGAGTGCTTCTTAAGCTCGGGAAGGGAGAAGAAGATTGTTCTGCTGACCGCTTTGCACCTCTTGACTGGCCCTCCTTCCAAGTCCTCCTCGGTAACGCAGCCCATCGCATTGAGACAGCGTAATGCGAAAGAAACTGGAAGCTCATGTTAGTTCTTCAGCTGTTCGAACCGGTAAGAGAGAGATGGGATTTCTTGACTTGGGATCATCAAGCCAAGCCGACTAAGACAGTGATGGCAAACCCGGTCCTATTATTGATCGCTTTAGGCCTGCCACTGACAAGCCCGTTATTTGAGACAGACAGCTTTTAGCAAGGGAAATGCACTGTGGGTAGAGAGGGCTAAGAGTCCACCAAACGGTAGTACAGCATGGTCTCAGCCGGATCCCCGCGCTTTCGACGTAACATAGAATCCGTTTCGAGGCAACGCGACATCCCGTGTGCTGCGTGCTGTAATTGTGCGTAGCGAGGTGAAGCACTGGTTACCACTGGTGTTTTGCGGCGCGTTGAGGATTGGAACTAGATTCCGAAGCTCATGACTTCGGGATGTGGTCGGAAGAGAACTTTTGCCGCGGTCAACACGTGTACGGTGGGACGCGACCGCCGCCTTTGCGCTTTGCGCTTTCACACAGCGCATGGGGGAGAGTTCAAAAGCGGCCGTTGGTCTCCGTCCTGACCGAGACGTTGTTCCTCCTTGTCAATTTGACCACAATGGGACCTTGTGAGATCACGGTTGAAACGCAATTCCGAATCATGACGGCTGAAGTTCGCCTAGAAGCTAAGCTGCTAATAGAATTTGAGACGTGCAGCAGCTGAAGGCTTAGATTGCGGCCTGAGATCCGGAACCACCACACGAAGATAGTTTCGGTGGTAATGATCTCAGTGGCCAAGTGCTGGTGTTGCATCCTGTGTTCTGTTTAACGGAGCATAGCTCACCTGTTCAGAAATCACATCTCCGTTGGAATTTCAGCGCTGGGAGACATTGATCGAGGATATCGCAAGACGTCGCGTGGGTCGAAACGCAGAATGACCTGTCTTGATCATATAGACAGGAGCAGCTTCCATCCCTCGCCGGCATAGGAAATTCATTCGAAAAGTTTTCCGGACGAAGGAGCGTTGCTTGAAGATTGCTGCTGATCATCATCAGCGAAGAAAATAAAAGGCACTCGAAAAGAGCAAAAAGCAGAAAAAGATAACCGTAACGCGAACACGTGATACGTCAATCGGTCGGAAACTGAAATTGAAACTCCGTATCCAAGTCGGGGCTATAAATGGCTGAAGTCCCCCGCGTCGATTGCGCTCATCATTTCCCCACATCCCCCACAAGGGCCCCACAGCCTTCTCTTCTTGTATATCGACTACCACCCGCCGTACGACTACACAGCCAGCCATGTCTCTCTACATCGCGTTTCCCATGATCCCTTTCTCCACCATCGTCTTCTACCTTGCCGTTCCCGCACTCATCGTACTCCTCCTCGCGCGTTCCGTGTACCTCCTGTTCTTCCATCCACTTAGTTCCGTTCCTGGTCCTTGGTACGAGACTTCCCCCGTTGCCCTTCGGCCTTCTAAACTCCTTCTAAACTTACATTTGCATCGTAAGGTACGCCGCGGTGTCATCGCTGTGGATCACGACACACGTCCTCCGGCTGCAGCAATGCAAGACTATCCATTCCCTGTTCCAGGAGTATGGACCAGTTGTGCGCATTGCCCCCAATAAGGTCGCCTTCTGCGACGCCGGCGCGATGAAGAGCGTATATTCCACGTACAAGTTCGACAAAAGCGATTACTATAAGAGCGTCTTGACGTGCGTTTACTGTTTTCAATGCGACCTGACTATCACTTACTGTTTCCGCTCTCTTCTGCAGCAATGACAACGACCACGCGTTCGTGCTCGGTTGATTAACGCGCATACATTGGCTCAACAAAGCATTAGAATGACCACCCTGCCCGCCGCTGAGCACTCCATCCGCCGTAAGGCATACGCGTCCCACTACACTCCCTCCAACCTGGCCAAGCTACAACCTGAGATCTTCGAAGTTGCGGGGCAAATGATTAACGTGCGTCGATCTTGATCTGTCGCCCGTGCTTACGTACATCGTCTTCTTCTCTTCTTCCTCTCGCGGTCGACGGCCTTCTGCATCTTACTTGACCCTTCAGGTCCTCAATTCGCAACCCACACAAACGCCGGTCGATGTCCTCTCCCTCTTCAAACACGTTAGCACCTATCTCACTCAGCACGAACGGAGTCTGACTCGCTTTTCCTAGTTCTCGCTCGACGTCATCGTTGCATCGTCTTACGGTTTCCGTCTCGGTTCAGTTGGAAGATGGGCCGTCGAAGCCGAGGAGGCACTGACCGTGGCCATCGGGGACTTTCCCAAGCGAGGTGTCCTGGTTCGTCATCTCGTTTCCCGATTCACGCCTGCATCAACGTCTTCGTCAGCGAAGCACTGTGCCGAACTGGGCCTGGAACCTAGTGTGCAAGATCCCTAACGCACGGTTCCGCATGCTCTGTGAGTCGGACAAGATCATGGCGGAGTTTGTCTCGCGACGCGTGTATGAGATGCGGGCGCAGCTCAAGCCTGCAGTGTTGATTCCCGGGACGACGATAATCGCCCCGACACCCAGTTCATTCTCGTCATCTCCTTTCCTCTCTGCGCTCCAGAGCTTCGGTAGCCGATGCTCATCCCGATCTTCGTCGCCGTCTCCCTCGTGTTCTTCTGATTCGGACAGCTCGTTCACCGAGGATACGGAAAAGTCGTATATGCTTCCTCGACTACTGTCATACAAGTACCCCACTGGGGCTTTGATGCCGGAGTTGGACGTTATCAGCGAATGCATGGGCCACATGTAACTTGAGCTCTTTTTCGCGCTCCCGGTGTATTCATTGCTCGTTGCAGGGTGGCAGGCACCGACACTGCCTCGATCTCGCTTTCTTACTTCCTTTGGGAGCTTACGCGCCGACAAGACATACTTCACAAGCTCCACGCAGAGATTGACAGCGTGATGCCTGACCCCAGCGTCGTACCCGACCTCAAGGTGCTCAACGGGATGGAGTACCTCAATGCCTTCATCAAAGAAGGTGCGTGTCTTCATGTTCACGCTGCGCATATACTCAATCAGTCTTGACCAGGTCTTCGAGTCTATGGTGCGGTCCCATCCCTGCTGGAGCGCGTTGTTCCGTCGTCAACATCGAAGCACTTCCTCGGGCCGGAAGGCTTTGACCTCATGGGCTATGCTCTCCCTCCAGGCACGATTGTTGCAACTCAAGCCTGGTCGATGCATCGTGACTCCACGGTATTCCCGTCTCCGGAGACTTTCCTTCCCGAACGCTGGCTGCCGCGCCGTGACGCTGACGCTGACCGCGATGCCGAGCGCCTGGCGAGGATGTCAGCACAGATGATGGCCTTTGGTACGGGCTCGCGCATCTGCGGCGGGCAGAACCTGGCGTACATCATCATGCGCGTCGTGCTGGTCACTGTATTGCGCAATTTCGATGTGGAGGCTGCTCCAGGAACGGACGAGAAGACGATGGATATGAGAGATAGTTTCGTGCGTGCGCTCGATTCATCCAGGGAACATCTCCTGACCTCTGCCGCCAGGTGATGTTTCCGGCTGCTATGGAGTGCAAGCTTCAATTCCATCCGCGCAACCCCGCTTGAATTCCGTGCGCCACCCGCTATCAACACGCTCTCCACACACATACCTCTTCACTTGTCCACCATGCTATCCTGCTCTCGCTATGCTTTCGAACCTGTTGTACCCTGTATCGCTTTTTCATGCTTTCTGTTGTATCGTTGTCGACATGTTACATATCACCCTCCCCCCTGCGTGCGATCCTAGCCTCTTGTTATCTGATAGCTACCCTTCCATTCTTATATACAGACCTGAGACATCGGTCATCCCGCTTTTCTGACACAGTAGCAAACCTGCATCATGGCCATTTCCTATTCCACACCGAAATAAGGACACGTTGTGTTATCTTACAGTCGAGTAACCTGGAAATAACTGAGGATTCTCAAATCCTCTATGTAGACTGCGTTTGAATCAGATGACTTCGTAGTCAAATTTAAATAAGGCGTCATAGCTCAGCTGGGAGAGCGATAGACTGAAGATCTACAGGTCACGTGTTCAATCCACGTTGATGCCAGTTTCTTTTGCTCTCAGCGTCTTATGTTTCCATAATTCTTTCAAGAAGCAACACACCAATGCGAAGTCGGATCTGGCCAAGCTGTCGTCGCAGCGGGCCTCCGGGTCACCCAGCTAACGCGGTAAGTATTCAAGTTACCTTTGAATCAACGAAAGTTATCGTGCTATCGTGCACGAAGAAGCCCGGATGAGAACGAGTTTCAGTTGACTCTGATGATTTTCGTTACATGTGATTTGTGCTTCTGATAGTTGCATCATGCATCTTTGACATAGGCACGCTACACGGAATGAAACCGTCTCGACGATCGATTACGTGCCCAACCGTCCTTTCAGCCCCTTCGTATCACATCAGGTATGATCCGGATTCCTCCGTCAGATGAAACGACCCGCTTCAGAACATCACAAAAGTCTGGTCCCTGTGCTCTTGACGTCACATCCCTTTCCCCGAATCTTTTCAGGCGGCGCTCCGGCGGGCTTTCTGTTGTTCTCTCAACATTTCGACATGTCCGACATACCGTGGTTCTCATAGTATGTTGTCCGAATACCGGTCGTACGCAATCGGCGATCTTCCTTCAATCTCCACCCATGGGTGAGAAGGCCGCGCGTGTTTTCGCTTCCGATCTCATTTTTGAACGACCGTTTGAGCGCTACAACCTCGGTCCAGGCTCAAAACGAGGCACTATCACTATGTCTGCTATCTACACTTGCCGCGAGAGGAAGCGTGTTCCTTGCCTTCGCGTCTGCCGAGTCCATGTAAGTTCGAAGTGCAATCTGTGGGCTGTGTGAGCATGTCACGAAACATCCGCGGCTGGCTGAACTCTGGCGCTCGAAATGCAATAGTCACATGTGCCTTCTGCCATATGCCATATGGGCTTTCGCTTGTTTAGCTGGCATGATTCCTGTGCATCCTGATGTCAAGTATTTAGAGGGCATTCCAATCCTTCCTTCGACGACCCAGTTCTGGCCACATCCCCTGCCTCCACTCTATTACATCTCTAATGTCTGACATGACTCGCGCGGTACTCGTCACCGGTGCAAATCAGGGTGAGACTTCCCCTCTGTGCTCTCTCCGATGTAGGTCCGGGATCCTGAACCTGGGAACTCTTTTCGACAGGGCTAGGCTACCACACGGTGCACCAGCTCGCTCAGACTCCTGGCATGATCGTATTCTTGGGATCGCGTAGAATGCCGGCGGGGGAAGAGGCTGCGGCAAAAATCGCGCCGGATGTACATCCGACGTCGTCGGTCATCCCCGTGCATGTCGACCTCGCGGACGAGAAGACCATCTTGGCGGCCAGCGAGTTCGTGGCGGCGAAGCTAGGAGAGAAGGGGATCTCGAAATTGGATTGTCTGGTGAACAAGTGCGTCCCAGTCAAAAATAGCCAGAATGCCACGATATCGATATACCGTCATCCCAGCGCGGCGACGGCGGTCGGACCTGCTACAGAGATATTTGCCGTCAATGTTGCAGGCACCCTCGCAGTCAAGACCGCATTCTACCCGCTGATCAAGCCCGGCGGGGAAATTATGAACATCTCCTCTTCCTTCGGCTCACACGGTCTGCGGGCCGCAAGGCCGTACACGCTCCCGCCTGCGGTCGCGACAGGCCCACCGTACTCGGCAAGCAAGGCAGCTATCAACAATCTTACGCTGCAGTGGGCGTGGGAGGAGGAACAAAAAAAGACCGGCATCCGTGTGGTTTCGATCTGCCCGGGTAAGTCTGAGATATTTTGGTCTGCACAGAAAGACTGGTACGAGGCCTGAACGCTCTGGAATAGGCCTGAACGCGACTACTATGAGCCGTTTCTCCAAGGCTGGGGTCTCCCCCGCAGTCGGATGTGCAGTCATGGTCAATGAGGTGTTGCAGCCGCAGGGCAAGAGCGGCATCTTCTTCGATAAGGACGGTCCCATTCCTTGGTAGTGATCGCATTTACCGGATGGAGGGACAAGAGGGCGTGAATACTATTGATCGCAATGAGGCGGCTGCTGAAGTGCATCGACCGGGTTAAGTCACTCTAGTGCACTCATTTGTGCGATTTTATTCCCGGAATTTCTTGTAATCCATTTCTACGTATCTAAAGTTGAGTCTTGCAAATTACTACGAGGTTCTGGGAGGAACGTCTCGAGAACTGACAGTGCCGAACCATCGAAATCGACATTCTAAACTTCTTTTGACTCGTTCTCGACCTCCCATTGCTCCATTTACTCCGGGTAAGAAATGGCGAATATTTATTACTTGTATCTACATGTTTACATGCTACGATTGTCGTTCCGGGTGCGTACTTCCGTAGAGTACCAAGGAGAGGGCTTTTGTCACAGATATAGTCACTGCTGTTGTGAAATACAGCTATAATAACCCATAACCTGTCATAATCCATACTTTTCCCCTGGAACAGACCTCATTCTCTGATAGGATTGTTGAAAAACCCATAACTTTGCAATACCCCATAACCCATAACTTCAAGTGAAACTGGCATGGCTGCAGATGTCATCAAACAACACTTGCAACACTGAAAAGGTGGTCTAGCAATGCTCAAAGCAAGTGTCAAGAGGCAGAAAGATGAAATCCTTGCCTGCTTGGCCAAGAATCAGCCTGTCTCAGACGTCGACAATCATTTCATTGATCAGGAAGCAAATCTTGTCAATGAAGATGTCCTTCTCAGCAAACTCGAGGCTGCCCCAGATTATGACAAGGCATTTGATGCATTGGATGAGAAGGAGAAGCTGGAAGGATTGACAAACGGGGCCCTGAAGATGTTGACTAAGCAAAAGTGTGCATGATCTTGCAATGGTCACTGTTCATGGGATTGCTCACTTGGCAGTTGTGCAGGCACTGAGAAGCAAAAGCTGCCCCAAAACAAAGCTGTTGCCGCATCTGAGCCTGCTCTGGTGTTCACAAAGAAGGAAAATGCAACACTGTCTCAAAAGATACAGACCCTCAATTGGCATTACACTGAAATACTGAGGGTGCACTCACAGGTGAATCTACTATGAAAGTAAACCCAAATATAAACATGTTCACACTCCTCATAATCAGGTTCTCAGTGTGTGGAAGATGTGAGGGCTTTGGGGTGGACAGAGCACCAGTATCACAACTCTCAATAGACACAGGATCCAATAGTCAGGGAAGATGAAGTCGACAACAAGAATTTATATATAGCAAATGATGGTGTCTCAACCAATATCTTATATACAGTCAAAACCAACACTAATCCAACTACAACCAACAATATCACAAGTCAGAACTTAGTACGAAGTATTAAGATCCCTTGTAGCGACAGCGTCCTGATGGTGACGCAAAACCCAAAATATCAAGTCGACACACTGCCAACTAGTAAAACTAAAATGCTGCATCAACGCACTGCCAACTAACAGCTAATATCCAACGTCCAAAACCCAAGCACAACTTGTCAATGCACTGCCAAGCAAGAAGTGTGGAACCAAAGTTCTCCAGTCAACGCACTGCCAACTGACCAAAACAACCCAAGCACAACTAGTCAACACACTGCCAAACTAGAGGTGTGGAAACAATCTCAACAAAGCCCAAAGGCAATGACACAAAGTGCCGTGACAAAACCAGAAGCAGCAAATCCAACTTTCTGATATCTCAAACTCAAACTCAAATCACAGTAGCTACAAGTGCTCAGGGAGCAACTCGTCGCGACTGGGCAGGGGTAGCAGAACTTCTTAGGGTGGAATCACGTGGCACGCAAATTGTACAAAACAATCTGATATGGGTATGATTCACAGTCCGGGGGAAAGCTCCCCAATACAAAGAAACGGTGTGCTACTTATACTGTCTACAATGGTGCTTAGTAAAGTCCTGTACAACTGCATAGTAGCTACACTATCTAAGATTGGTTGCTTTTTATAGTAATGAAAAGTTGAACGATTGGACAGGTCCTGACTGATCAGGACCCCGCCCCATTGTCCATATGGTACTTTTGATGTGGGACAATCCACTGTGTCATACTTCTGGAATAGATTGTGTTGGATTGGCCAATTAGTATGTCTTGGCAAGTGAGTCCAACGTGGGCATCCCAAGAAGCCGTATGGTCCTAGGCACACCAGACGTTCATCACATGGTCCGGTTCACGAATCTAGCCCGTGTTGCTTTTAGTGTGTTTGGATATGGGCGCAACTCACCGTGACACTTTGAAGTGTAACCATGACACGTCCCACAATATCCCGTGATTGAGTGGAGCATGACATGTGACAAGTTGTTGCCGTGGCATGATCTAAGGAAATGTCCTACCCAAAGCCAGGAGTTGCCGCGACAAGATTGGTTCAATCTTGTAACGCCAAGTCCTGTCTAGTACTAATTGTTATGTTGAGAACGTCGCGCGTTCCTAAGCCCTCCAGCTCGAGTTCCTGTCTACAGAGAGTGACCCTTCCAAGGAGTCACTGCAACAAAGCATCCCTTCTGGGGAATTGTCGCGGTCCAAGTGTCCATCACTAATAGCCCTAAGCCTGGTGTAGACTCATAAGACCAATTCCACAGTAGTGGTCTGACTACCTTGCTATTGTCAACACTATCCACAGTTGTTGACTAGGCAGTAGACCCTTAAGTCCTACTGAGCGCAACACTGTCAACCGCGACACAATACACTGAGTGGTTCAAGAGTAAACTCTGTAAAAGCGCAAAAATACACCCTTATAGAGCTGGTGCAGAGCACGTCTGGTAGCCAGCCTATCACCGTGATTGAGTTAGAACATGGCCCATGACGAGTCATTGCTGTGGTGTGATCTGAGGGAATGTTCAACCCAAAGCTGAGAGTTGCCACGACAAGATTGTGTCAGGGGACGCTGCACTCCTTGGGTATGTGACCATGCACGTGACCCACTGTGCCCTCTCTGCTGACACGTGCCTGCTCACCTGTCGCTCACCCAGCCTCCTCCTCCTCCTTCGATCCCCACCTCCATCTGTGCCGACATTCACCCTCTTCCTCCTTCTCCTAGCCATCTCCTTCAAACCCCCGCAAGCGGTCTAGCCAAGCCCGATTCCTTGCACCAGGGAGTGCTACTGCCGTACGCACTCCTCCCCCTCTACTTCAGCCTTCTCCCCGCGGATGTGGTCTACTGCCGTACAGGCTCGTACCAGATGCCCTTGCGCTCATCTGCACCACCCCTCTTCCCAGTTGGGCATTGGTCCTCGCCTCCGATGCCTCCACTGGCTGGCCCGGCACTGGCCTGGCCACTGGGCTCCTCCAGTGTGGCCTTCCACTGTTGGTGTCTCAGGAGCTGGCCGTCACTGGCCCCTCTGAGCCACTCACTATCTTATCTGGGTTTGTCATTATCTACTTGTCATCTGCCATTGTTCCATGGCAGTGATATCCCATCATCATCAGTCACTTGTCACAGCTGACTATATAGTGTGACACCTAGGCACATGGATCCTTGAACCGTTCTCTAAGGATTCCCCTCTGTGCTCAGGTGAGTAGTATACCTCCCTTGTATTTCATAGTCCCTAAGGATCCCCCTCTGTGCTCAGACTCATGTGAGGTTGTTGTGTGCTGTGTGCTCTCTTCCTTCGGGCTGGCAGGAGTTGCCCTTACATCTGTTTTTGGCTTTATTTTTTATTGATTGTTACATCATTTATACAATAGATAGACTCCTTACAAAGGCAAATCTTGGATCTTGACAAACATAGGAATGAGACAAGGGATGATTCTCCCCTCCTATGTATATGATGTCTGAGCAATCATTCTTGGATAATGGTTGTTGCTCTCCTTGATCTTGAATAGAGTAACATTCAAGAGTATGTTCATGTCATCCTGGAATAGCAGAGATCTCAAGAAGGGTGATTTTGTTACAGACAATATTGCGCAGAGGAGATACAACCAGTAGCAATTACCTAAAGACAGAGTCTCAGCAAGTGTAGAGACATAGGAGCTATATCATTAGCTGTACCTAAAGACAGAGTCTATGGTACAAGTCATAAGTAAGGGTCCTTAGATCATAAGAGAGAATGCATACCTCAGCAAGTGCAGAGACACAAGAGCTGAGAATATGGAGCATATAGTACTAGGTTTATATACCAGTCTGGAGCAGATATTATGATGTCATAGTGGAGTAGTGTGAGGTCAGATATAAGGTCATTGTAGAGAACAAGCCAAAGTAATCTAAGAATACTGCATATGGTATCATGTCTACATACTATGATAGTTGCTAATATAAACAAGCTTCAACAGATTTACCATATTGTGTGGAGTCAGTAAAACAGTAGATAATTATAAAGGAGTCAATAAACCTATAGAGAAAGGAGTGTGTAGGTTGGAAATTGAACAAGGAGGGGTCTGTAGTTCAAGGATAGAGGGTGTAGATGACCAGGCAGGCAACAATGTTTGCCATGGATATCTAGCTGTCTCTGCTGAGACGTGTTCCACTATTTTTGTTTTTCCACCCAAACACAACAGCAGTTTATAGCTTGCAAGCTTACCAAAAACACTGTGCTCTTCTTTTGCTGGACCATCCAGCAGCACTAGAGCCAAGGGCTCAATTGTTGCTTTTTTGGTTTTCTTACTAAATCTGGACAGCATTGGGGAATAGCTACTGCTCAGTTAGAACTGTTGTGCTGTATTACTAATGAAATTCTGCTATACTAACTAGGCCCTTTATGTGAACACTGTGCCTGCGTAGTTCTTTGAGAGCATGTCCTTCCCATGATATCATGTATATCTTATGCTCACCCAATGCAAGACTGATGGGATTTCTAGTGGCATTGCTGCTGAAATATGGATGAAACCACAACAAGAATGTGCCTTCAGGAGCATCTGGGTGAAAGCATTTATTGTCTAAATCAATTTCCTGCCCTTATTCATCATGAATGTGAAAAAGTGGTTGAACTATGACATTTACCTCATCCTCTTCAATATCACTTTGTTCTTGAAAATTGTGTTGACCTGGGGACCCAGGCAACAGTACCAAAGTTTCGCATTATTCAGCAAGACATTGATAATGTAACTGATGGATTGAAGCAGCAGTCTCACTGCATTTCAAGGGTACCTAGCCACCTTTGGTGGTTAGTTGTCTAACCCTCTGCTAGCCACTATTGGGTGTCAAGGTAAGTAGCCACTGTGGTGGTGAGAGGTGATTGAGTGATGTGTGAGCGGAGGCCAGTCACATGACCCATCACTCGATCACGTCTAACCGCCATCAGCTACATATCAGCTCCTATCCCAGCTTTGGCCAAGTAATGCTCTATACAACCCTTGCAGTGCGTCTTCTACTGATTTTGATTCTGCTTCTCTCTGCCTTTCACAAAGAAGTCCCAGAAAGTTGGCATATCAAGTAGCAGCAGATGGACAGGGGAGTCGGGGTCAGTGGCGCACAGCGTGCAGCAGGATTAATATCGCTATTGTACAATAATATAAATTTATTTATGATGTCATGCTGCAATCACATGGTCAAATATATCACGTGCTATATAGGCATGTGGTGCTATAGGCCTTCAAAAGGCCTTCACGTTGGCTTAGAGGCCCTATAAGCCTTCAATTATAGGCCTTAACCCTATAGGCAAACACTGGTAATGTGTACTCAAAAGGGTAACTTGGGACTTGAGCGAGGGCTATGGTGCGCAGAATCATGACAAGAAAGGAGAAGATGAGTTGCACAGGCTGAGTTCACTACACACGGCTAACCTTGTCTGACCACTTGGTGGTTAGACGTGTATGAGAGCATGACTAACTAATTAACCACATGTAGACTCTGCAGAGGTTACTCAATCAGCTCCGGTCTAGCAACTGGGAGCCGCCATGTGGCGGCTAGTGAGCTAATCTCTGATGGGCTAGAGGTCTAGGTACGGCTTGCTTCGGGCTCGAACATTACCTGCAACTCGGAGCTGCCGAGGCGGCTAGGGACCCCCAGAATGCAGTGTCTGGGAAGCTACAACCTGTTAAGCCTTTCACTTTGCCTTTAGAGCATCATATGCTTTGCCTCCAAAGTGTTTGATAATGGTTGAGTTCTCCTCTCTCTCAAGCCACTGGTTCATCCACCACCCATGAATTGTCTGTTGCTTCATTGCCATTTTCTTTAACTGCTGCTCAGGTAGCAAGGGTGCCTAAACTGGATACAGAAACAAGTTATCAGGGCTGAACTTTCTGATT